GGAAACCCGAGACGTCAAGCTTATTCCTTATAGGAAACATGTGGAAGAACTTGGCAAACGATTCAAGTCAATAGTGTTCAGGTACATTTCTCGCTGCCACAATGAATTAGCTGATGCACTTGCCACCTTAGCCTCAATGCTGCCATACCCAGGCAATGCCCGCATTGATCCCTTGGAAATCCAAATTCAGGAAAGGCATGGTTATTGTAATACGGTTGAAATGGCGACAAACACCTAGCCATGGTATCATGACATTAAAAGGTTTTTGAAAACACAAGAATACCCTGAGCAAGCCAGTGGAGACCAGAAGAGAACCATTAGGCGGCACGCGAGTGGTTTCTTTTTGAGTGGTGACATCTTGTACAAAAGAACTCCGGACCTCAACTTGTTAAGATGTGTTGACGCAGAGGAGGCTGGAAGAATCATGCATGAGGTACATGCGGGAGTATGCGGACCCCACATGAATGGGTATGTTTTAGCAAATAAAATCTTTCGAGCAGGCTATTACTGGATAACCATGGAAAAGGACTACTTCAGTTTTGTCCGAAAGTGTCATCAGTGTCAGGTGCACGATGATTTGATTCATGCACCTCCCACAGAACTGCATCCCATATCAGCACCTTGGCCATTTATTGCTTGGGGTATGAATGTCATCGGGCCAATCGAGCCGAAAGCCTTGAATAGGCACCGATTAATACTAGTTACCATTGACTACTTCACGAAGTGGGTTGAAGCCATCACTCTCAAATCCGTCACCAAGAAAGCTGTGGTAGATTTCGTGCACTCCAATCTTATCTGCCATTTTGGCATTCCTGCAACTATTATCACAGACAATGCTGCAAACTTGAATAGTCATTTGATGGGAGAGATATGCGAACAATTCAAGATAACGCATTGGAATTCTACTCCTTATCGACCCAAAGCCAATGGTGCTGTCGAAGCAGCAAACAAAAACATCAAAAAGATTTTGAGAAAGATGATTCAGAGTTCCAAGCAGTGGCATGAAAAGTTATCGTTTGCATTGTTGGGATATCGCACTACTGTGCGCACGTCAATTGGAGCCACCCCGTATCTTTTGGTTTATGGCACTGAAGCCGTAATACTCGCAGAGGTTGAAATCCCCTCTATCCGGATCATTGTTGAAGCAGAAATTGAAGAGAGTGGGTGGGTCAAAACTCGGCTGGAACAGTTAACCTTGATCGATGAAAAACGAATGGTCGCGGTCTGCCACGGGCAGTTGTACCAACAAAGAATGGCCCGTGCCTACAACAAGAAAGTGCAGCCTAGAAATTTCGAAGTGGAGCAGCTTGTTTTAAGGTGTATCCTTCCCTATCACCAGGAATCGAAAGGAAAATTTTCTCCTAATTGGAAGGGCCCATACATCATCAGAAAGATATTGCCGAAAGGGGCGTTGTATCTGGGTGATATCGAAGGGAATGATCCTGAAGTAGTTGTGAATGCGGATGCAGTCAAAAGGTATTATGTTTAGCTTTTCTGCATTGACAACCTTGTCCGATTGGGATGATGAAGGCTTTCATTCTCGCTACCCAAACACTCTCCACCCTTTGCAAATCCATTTGAGCCAGTTACTCTTCTTTGATTACCCTCTTGGGAACCGTAAAGTGTTAAAAAAAAGAAGCAAAAACAACAAAACAAAATGTTTTCCTGAACTACGTTCGACTTGATTCCGAAAGGACACGTAGGGAGCCTCTCTATGGGGTTCAGTCACACCAAAACAAAAATCCAATTTTCCCCAAAAGAGAAACTGGGGTAGATGTTATAATGGTTCAACAATGAGCCTACCTGAATGGTTCCAAAGTTGTAATTTCACCCGGATTCTTTTTGCCCAAACCTTGTTCAAGTCCTTCTGATCAATCAGCAAAGGCGCCGGAATTAGAAAACATGACTGTTTGGATCTGATACAATTAAAATTATAGAAATAAAATAAGAGAGTCTTGTCGGTGAAAACCTAGGGGCACCATAAGGCGACGGTGAGCAGAGAAATTGAAAATGAGAGAGCCTGTTTAGTGAAAACTCGTAAAGAGCACTATCAAGCGATGGTAAGAAGAGAAATGTGAGAGGTCGATTGGCGAAAACCCGCAAAGGGCGCCGTTGATCGAAGAGAAGAAACCCCTCACCACCATTAGTATTGAAAGAATCCTGGCAAGTTTTCTCGATTTTGAAACATGGGGTGCAATGGGTTTATGAGAAGTCGGATAGTTGTGCGGATCGGTTGTCTAGTCCAAGAAGCATGTCATGTCTATTTGAAGCATGCATGCACCCCAGATAACTCTGTCTTTCCTCCCCGAAAGGGACACTTCTCCTTCAAATTCATTTTTCTTGTCCTTTGTTTACCTTTTCTTGAATCCCTTTCGGTCTAACTCTGTTCTGAAACTAATACAAAGAAAAGGTGGCAAGATTGGTTTTCCAGGGTTCTGCTTAACAAAAGCCAAGTCCAAATAAAAGTACCCAGCCTCAGCGGGTGCATCAAGTCGATCCTGACTGGCCGTGATAACTGATGCTTTGAAATCAGAATTTATTGAAAATGAAAAGAAATCCCAAGTCAAAGCCCCTAGAGGCAGAATAAAATGAAAAGGGCCAAAGCCTATGAGCCGTCATGAGAAATTTTGAAAAAAAGTTGAGCTCCTCGGTTTTAGGATAGAGATCAATCTTCAGAAAAGCCAGCAAGCAGCAGAGGTTCCAACCAAAAGAGTTGAGCCAAGATCAAGTGATCAAAAACGATGAAGGCCACAAAACCAACCACCGTTTCAAAACTAACAATTGTTCTTTGTTCGAAAAGATTGAAACAGCTGCAACCCAGGGCAACTGTGCAAAAGCAGGTGCAGCCGAAGAAAAGCCGCGCAAGAGCTAGAAACAGCTTCGCAGTAACAATCAACCCAAAAGGGAAGTTTTTCTCCAAAATTCTTTCCTGCATCTTATTGAAATAAAATGAAATGGGAAAGAAAAGAAAAAAAAAAGAAATCCAAACAAAATGATAGCTAAGATTCCCAACCTCAATTTGTTACTCTTTTGCCAACATTAGGGGTCCAACCCTGAGTTGAGCTTTTAGACATAAGGCCTCCATTCCCTAGTCTCCTTTTGCCAACATTAGGGCTCCAATCTCTGAGTTGAGCTTTTAGACATAGGGCCTCCATTCCCTAGTCCCCTTTTGCCAACATTAGGGCTCCAATCCCTGAGTTGAGTTTTTAGACATAGGGCCTCCATTTCCTAGTACCCTTTTGCCAACATTAGGGCTCCAATCCCTGAGTTGAGTTTTTAGACATAGGGCCTCCATTTCCTAGTACCCTTTTGCCAACATTAGGGCTCCAATCCCTGAGTTGAGTTTTTAGACATAGGGCCTCCATTCCCTAGTCCCCTTTTGCCAACATTAGAGCTCCAATCCCTGTGTTGAGCTTTTAGACATAGGGCCTCCATTCCCTAGTCTCCTTTTGCCAATATTAGGACTCCAATCCCTGAGTTGAACTTTTAGACATAGGGCCTCCATTCCCTAGTCGCCTTTTGCCAACATTAGGGCTCCAATCCCTGAGTTGAGCTTTTAGATATAAGGCTCCATTCCGTAATCGTTCCTCTTAAATACACAATCCTTATTTTATTGCTTTCAATAGAGAAATAAGGTAGATTTTAGTTGCAAATAACTCACGAAATTTTCCCACTGAAAACTGGGGCAGGAAAATTTCGTTCGTTTGTTTGTTTGTTTTGGGTGACTGGGCAGGTTTTGCCTCGAGGCACAGTATTGGAGATGACCAAAAGAATGAGTCTCAATCCAGAATAAAGAAAAGAAGGAAAAGAGCAAAAGAAGTGGATTCAAAAGGTTAAAGTGGAGAAAGATGCGGACTGCCCAAGATATGATTGAAGTCACAAGCTTCGCATGGCCCGCCTTGATCCAAAGCTAAAGAAAGAACCAGTACCTACAGCTGACGAGCATCAAGATTCAGATCGGAGTCCACAGCAAGAACCATCCAAGACTCAAGATCAAGCCTCAAGAGATTTATAGATAGGAATCTTGTAACTCGTAGTTGATAGGCTTACCTAGTTTAGTTTTTTATTTTTCATTTTTGGTGTAATAAGGAGTTCCGCAAGTAGAAATCGCAGCAACAACAACGAAATCACAGCTTCTCGGTAGTCCCAGCTACCAAAACTTTCAGAACTACACTGACCTGATTCCTTTATAGCCAAGGATATGTAGGCAACCTCCGAAGCAAGGTTCGGTCAGATTTTTTTTTCAAAAAATGCTTCTCATGGAGTTTCAAATGGGCAAAAATCCCTCGAAATTGCTCATTTTATCTTTGCCCGAAAACCCTTCGTGTCTCCGAGCAAAGAGGGGCAGCTGTGAGCACGTGATTTTTGCTCTATACGAAATACTCCTATACAATCCCAAGAAAATAGATTTTTGTTAATTATTTGCCATTTTAGGAATTTTTGTAGAATTTTATTTAATTGTTTGCATTTTTTGTGCATGTTTAAGTTTATTTAAATTATAAAAAATACCAAAAAACATCACGCATGGCATTTAGGCTTTATTTTTATATTTTTTGGGATTAATCAGTAATTATTTGTTTTATAAAATTTGAAAAAATCACAAAAAATAGCTCATTTTACGTTTTTGTCTTTAATTTTAATTTATTGATTTTTCACTTTTAATATAGATTTAAGTAATGTTTACAATTTCTATAATTAGTTAATTAGTCTAATTTCACATTTTTAGATAATTTAGGATTTTTCTTTTAATTAGGATTTTTAATTAAAAAAAGAGAAAAGAAAAGAATTGAAAATTGGGCCATTCTTAATCTCGCAAATCACCCCAAAATTCGGCCATCATGCACAATTGTCCCCTCAAAATCAATTAACCCCCAGCCCAAATACCATTAACCACCCCTAGCCCATGACTTGTGACCCAAACTCCCTCTGGATCCGCCCATTTCCCCCTCCATATAAAAACCTTGTTATAACATTTTCCCCCAAATTCCCTAACCCTAGAGACCAAAATCAGAGGCGGCTCCTCTACTGTTCTTCTTCTTCAGTGAACTCGCCTCAACTCGCATGAGTTTTGAGCGAGTTCACTCATTGGTCCCCCCCCCTCCACGTCACCTCATCCTCAACGGATTTGTCAGAGGAGTACGATATTCTCTCAAAATGCACGATTTCGGATTCAAAAGGACAATTGTTGGACGAATAGGAGCCGTGGATAGATGTGAATCAATCCACTCCCTCTATTTGTCCCGAAATTGTTCAATAAATCTGAAGATTTTCGAATTCTAGGCAGAAGTTTCGAGATATTTTTGAGGTTTATATATAAGGTAAGTTCTTTTCTTGTTAAGGAGAGGAAAATATTTTCAGAAAAAGGGTAGAGTAAAATTTCTAGGGTTCTTGAGCTTTTTTTCTTTTATTTCTCAAGCTTTGGTCCGCTTTTCTTCAGAAAACGAAAAAAAATAAAAAATGGTCTAAGTTTGTGTTCTTCGTTCAAGTTTTATTTCCAAAGAAACCAGAAGATTCTACGACTTTTGTTGCTGTCCTGTTACTGTGAAGCTTCATCTTAAGTTTTCTTCTTCTTTAAACTTTGTTGAGGAAAGGAAGAGGAACTCGCCGGATTTCGGATCCTACAATTATAGTTATTTTCTGCGTTTTGCTCATATATCCGAGATCTTTTTGTTCAAACAGGTTTTCTCTCAGTTCCTCCCCGTCTCGTTATTTGTTTTTCTCTCTGCCTTGGATTAAGTTTTAATTTCAGTAAACAGATGGTTTGAGTTATTATATTTAAACATTAATCTAATTATGGTGGCCAAAAGAAGCCTAGGATTATGAAACCTTGAAAAATCCTCTGTTTAGCTTAATGCCTTGTTGCTCTTCTTTCTCTTTCTTTCATTTGCTTGTATATTTAATTTAATCTTTTTCTTGGGATGGGAAGTTAGAGAGATGGTTAAAAGCCAGTGCATCATTTGCCTATTTTTGAAGCATAGGTAGCTTTAATTGTTCAAAGTTGGAACATGTATTTTGTCTACCATATAATATCCCGTGTTGAATTTTTCCAGATCTTGTCCAGTGCTGGGATTTTTTATTTTTTTTAAAAAAAAAGTGCAAAGAAAGTTTATTATGGTTTAGCAACATTAAATACAAGATAACTTGACATGTTCTTCGAAAAGTTTATAAAGATAGACCACTCATATTTTTTTTTTAATTTGTTTGGACAACCATCTGATTCGTACCCCTTTTGACGCGAAATATCTTGATATAAAATGTAGAAGTATTAATTTTGGCTTTAGGATCAACGTTGGTAGTGGTTCAAGAAATGGTCAAAAGAACAATAGAAGATTTATTTGTCGTATATTGTTTGCTTTTCCTAGGTATCGGCTCATGTGTTTATTCTGAGGATAATTTTGACGTTACTGGTATTTTACTCGATTATGTTGAATAAATTAATAATATTTTTTTTAAAAAAAAATTTGATTTTTCGCACTTGTTTGAAATTAAATTAAAATCATTATCTAGCTTTTGACCTCTTTTAGTTTTCCTGTGGTTTCCTTTTGGTCATTTTCAGGGGCGTAATTGTTTTAAAAAAAATAACATTCCAAAGTTGCTATATTTTTATGCCAGTAGTATTTCATGATATAGTCAATATATATTAGCATGTCTTTAACCTAGAGAAAAGGTGAATATACCATAGACCCAAAAGCCCAATAACTTGAGGTGTGCCACATTTTAAATCTATAACCTATGGCCCTCACAAATTTAGATCAAATAAATTGGGATGTGCCACATATAAAAAAAATCTTTTAATTGATGGCCCTCAAAGTTTAGTTTTGGGGCTTTCCCTCTAAAATTGGAATCGAGGTGTGCCGTGCCAATTAAAATCCCAAAATACATGACCCTTGTATTAGTTTTATAATTTAGATCTAACAAATATCAAATACTCGTAGTTTGCTTTAGGCTCGATTTAGATTAGTATTGCGATTATGTATACTTTCGCGTAACATAATTGCAAATTTATTTCTAAAAATGACTTGAGGGATGCGTTCGCGCAACTTCAACCAAACTTTTTCTTAATAAAATAAACAAAGCGTTATTAATCGTGGACACGTTCGCGTGACATGACTTTTGACGCGCCAAAGGAAAAGAGTATACGTACGCGTAACTCAATTCTTTAATTACGAATAATCAAGTGATTTAAAAGTGGTAAAAAAAAATAAATGCACATAGGTCCTAAAAATGAGTAGTCAGACAATTTAAGCCAAGTATAAATTGCTAAGTGACCGTGCTAGAACCACGGAACCCGGGAATGCCTAACACCTTCTCCCGGGTTAACAGAATTCCTTACTTAGAATTTTTGGTTCGCAGACTTCAAAAGGAAAGTCGAAATTTTCTCGATTTGGGATTTAAATAAACCGGTTACTTGGGACACCAATTAAAATATTCCAAGTGGTAACTCTGAAAAATAAATAAATAATCTCATATCGAATAATGTCACTTAAATTGGAAAACTCCCTTATATACTTCTCGGGGTGTGTTAAAAGGAGGTGCGACAATAGGCTGAAGACTGTGCGACCGACTGGGACAACCCTGATGATCCTCCCCGAAAAGCTGATCTTCCCTCACCTAGTGACTCACCCATGTTGCCCGTAGACCGGGCCTTTCTGTTACCCTCTCTCTCACCATCCTGTTCTTTAGTTTACAGTTCTCTGTGGCCTGAGCAAATGCCACCATCTTCCCATAATTCATGTCAGAATCCAAGGCAGCTATAGAAGCTTCATTAATAGTCAAAGGATTAAGGCCCTGAACAAATCGCCGCACCCTGGCCTCCATTATGGGCAACATGTGAATAGCATATTTGGACAGGCGGGCAAACTCCATGTGGTACTCCCACACACTTCTTCTACCTTGCTTTAGATTCTCAAACTCTACTGCACGAGCTGCCCTTGTCTCAGCAGGTAGGAAATGATCTACAAAAGCATCGGCAAACTCGCTCTACCTTACCGGATGGCTCCCCTCCTCACGGGAATCTTCCCACAACTCAAACCACGAGTAGGCCATCCTTTTCAGACGGTAGGCGGCCAACTCTACTCCCTCTATCTCAGTTGCACACATAACCCTGAGGGTCTTGTGCATCTCATCAATAAAATCATGGGGGTCCTCCTTTGAATTGGCACCCGTAAACACTAGAGGGTCTAGCTGAAGAAATTTGTTTACCATAGAACTTGTGGAATTCCCTTGCTGGATAGATGAACTGGGTGCGGCATTTGACCTCTGGGCCTGAGAGGCCACTAGCTGGGTCAACATCTGGATAGCTCCCCTAAGATCCCCATCAGAAATACCGAAACCGAAAGCTGGGGCTGGATGCGGGACAAGAATACAGGCGGGAGGGATGGTGGTACCCTCCATAGATGTAGGAACTAAGGTAATCTGCTCTGGAGTAGAAGAATCAGGCAGTGTGATAGTAGGGCGATTATCCTCACCCGCAGTATCAAGTAGTGAATCATCAGCCACTCCTAAGGTGGCATTGGCTTCTTGACTAATTCTCGCTTTCTTCTTAGGTGCCATGTACTGAAAATTGAAGGAGTGCACTAGTTAGAAGAGGAATGGTTTCACAATTGCCGCACGATCCAGAATATCAAAGAAGGGTGTTATTCCTAAATTCCCAAGTAGCCTCCAACTTATAGATGTGGTCGACTACACACCGATAAGAAGGACTCAACTACACACGTCTCCCAGACATCCTAGGACACTTTCAAACCTTAGGCTTTGATACCAAGTTTCTCATGCCCCAACCTCAGGAGGCGTGACCGACGCTCAATCGAGTGAACTCAACTGAGCAAGCCTTTTTAAACACTTTCTACCCAACTCAATATGATTAAGGGAACCATGTTTTTGTTTATTTTAACAATAAGGGAGATCGTACATTCAATATTGTTAGTTCATTTTATATCACAAACCTTAAACCTGTGGTCATTTTCCCAAAACATTATGCAGTTACAGTTTAGAGGAAACAAGAGTTTACAATTACAAAATGATCTAGTGACCCATCCAACCCGAACATAACCCGTAGAAACGTCTACGGAGCCTCTAAGGGTACAAAAGATAGTTATGATAATGCCGGCAACAAGGCCCCGACTATACCTCAAAAGTGGAAATTTACATCAAATGATGTACAACATCACCCCTTGAAGGAAAAAGCGCTCACCAAGACTTTGAGAGGAGGATACTCTGCTCTGCACGATCGGCACTATCCACTATAGCGCCACCTACATTCATTCAAAAATGTAGCGCCCTAGCAAAAGGGACGTTAGTACCATGGAATAGTACTAATATGTATAACTAAACACCATCTCATTAGAAAGAACAAAGAAATTACAAGGAACAATCAAAGGCTTTAAACGACCACCACATCATCAAATAAAAGAATCATAAAACTTTCACAAAAATTCCGTAGCTTTAGGTTGGGGCCTTTAATACTGTTCATCATCATTTATAATACCAACGCTTTCTTGAGCGGAATCCGATCACGGCCCGATCGGCTAAGCTGCCTCATTTGAGACATATACCTCAATCACTATTTCATTCTCACTTTCCAGTTTCAATCATCAACACAATACCACCATGTGAGTAGCATGGTGTCCAATCACGGCCCGATCGGCTAGGCCATCTTACCAAGACGTTACACCTTTTTCCATTAATCATCTCACTTCACTTTTTGGTTTCACATACATTAGTTCATCGGCACTTGGGACCACAATTACCACATCAATACTTGGCACTAGGCCACATTCCATAACTCATATTTCTTATTATTCCCATTTTCAACATTAACCTTGCCATTTAAGATCATAGGCACATACAAGAGCAATTTAAGTTGTAAGCATAAAGAGGAATTCACCTAGTTCGGCATAATAATCACAATGTAACCTTGACTTGAAATTTAGGCATTTTAGCACATAGTTCATGTTCTTCACACACCCTCAATTTTACAAAGAATAGCACAATAAACACATGGAAATGCACCTTCCACATGTATTCTCACCACACTAATTCATTTGATATAACAAGTACTACATCAATCAAATTCCAGACCTACGACATTTGCACGGACACCATGGAAGCTCAATTTCTAAGGAGAGGGGGTTTTATCCATACATACCTCAATAGAACTTTCCTTAAATCCTTACAATAATTCCGTAACTTTCAAGCAACTTCGATCTATTTTATGAGAATTTTAAATTGAACCAAGAATTAGAGACAGGATTAAGATTCTAGCTCATTTCAGTATATTATCACGCACTAAGTGTGCATTGTAATTTTTGGACTCTTTTGTGAGAGATTTTTTTACATCTTACACTTCAATTGCTATCTTTTTAACTCACAATCTCCCCATACCCTATTATCATTTATGCATGCAAGACAATCAATCCTTATACCCCATGAACCCACTTGTTAATTACCTATTCTAGTATGAATTTCGAAATCAAAGGTTAGGACTCAAGTTCTTACCTCTTGGAGTAAAGGCCTAGTAGCTTTACTTGATAATCTTTAAGGGTTTAGGTAAGGTTTGAATGGGGACTTAATGAAGATCACTCTCTCTCTATAGCACATTCTCTCACCTTAGATGTAGTAGAAAAATAGCATAAAAGGGTCTAATGGGGTGTTTTAATGGAATAGGGCCGGGTTTTAAAAGTTAGAAAATAGGAGCCCCGACACAATCTGCGATCGCATAACTGACATGCGTCTCGCAAAAGGGACCGCAAAAATGGCCCCCAAAACCTGAACAAACTGCCCAGGTATGCGACAAGAATGCGGTCCGCATACCCGTTCTGTGGTTGCATAATGCACCGCAAAACTACCCCTCGCCAAAATTCCAAGGAGATTATGTGATGACTAGGCGGCCCGAATGTCAATTATGCGATCGCATAATTGGCCGCATAGTTGACCTCAAAATTAACCAGCACTTTGTCTGACTCTGCTGCAACTATGCGGTCCGCATAGCTATAATTCGACCGCATAATTGATTGAAAAAATGTATTTTTCTGAAAATAACTTTTCCATGCACAGACCAATCCAAAAAGGTCTGAACACAATTTCTAACACATATCCCTGACTTGGCACTATGAGATTTTGGGTTTTGGAGTAAAATTTCACGGGGCCTTACAGGTCGGGTGTGGCCAATTTCATGATTTTTGAGTTAATTTGATAATTTTCATATGGGTTTCATTCCTTTAGCGTATATTGATGATAATATACTGATTTTGGTTAGATTCGGGGCATTTGGAGGTCGAATCGAGATGCAAGGGCATCGCGGCTAGAGTTTGGCTTTGCTTGAGGTAAGTAACGCTTCCAAACTTGGTTCTGAGGATTCGAAACCCCGAACTATGTGTTTTATGATTACTATTGATGTGACACAAATGCCAAGTGATGGGCGTGTGGACGTGCACCGTGAGAATTATGGCCTATCTCATTCCATGGCACCGTTTAGTAACTCTTTCTTGTTGATATCCATGTTTCTATCATGTGATTAAGTAAATGTGTTGTAAAAACATGCTAGATTTCCTGTTAGGGCTTCACGCTGATACTGTTGAGATCCGAGTTATCATTTCTTGTTGTCATCTCATTAAATTTATTGATATTCTGTACTCAGTCTTGCTCATGCATATCATATCATGTCTTAGTCTCAGTTATTATTATTTGGTACATCATATCATTGTTTCGGGCTAGATTCATGATATTGTGAGCCCGTATGTGTAAGACTTGAGAGTGATGACTGAGTGAGCCCGACAGCCTAATTGTGAGTGATAGTTATAGGATGGGGCTGCACGCTGCAGTGATTATGTTGATGTTTATAATAGCACTTGGGCTGTAAGAGCCCCTCCGGAGTCTGTAACACACCCCTAGTTAGCATAGTTGATTATATTCAGGAATGGATCTTCCCTTGCTATGGATATAGATCTTCTCCGTGAGGCTGGTTGGCGTGTTCCTCGGTACTAGAGACCGATGGTCTGTGATGTGTATATCTTCTGGGATGGATCTTCCCTAGGCCTTATGTGCCATATACAGTACCGAGTGGTTGTGAGGTTGTTATGATTGTTACTATCTGTAGATGGATCTTCTCCACAGGCTAGATTGGCCTTCCTCAGTACTGAGTGACTTCTGTCAGATATGTATATATTCCGGGATGGATCTTCCCTGGGCCGTATGATCCATATACAGTACTGAGTGGACGAGTATTTGAGATTGTGGGCACATGAGGCACTCAGTATGGTGCATTCCATATAGCATGTGCACTGACATATAGATGTAGCAGAGTCTCATTTCTTTACCATGTTCATATCTGCTCTATTCTCTGTTTTGAACTGTCTATTTAGCTGAAAGCATGCCTACGTTTCTATACGTTGTTTATGTTATCTTTAAGGAGGTTTAGTTCGTTACTACCTCTTAGTCTATTGTTTGGACTTGTTAATTATTGAGTTGGTGTACTCACGTTACCCCCTGCACCTTGTGTGTAGATCCAGGAATCTCAGGCCACGATAGCGGTTATTGATTATTTCAGTCATGGGCTTTCATTGGAGATAGCGAAGTAGCTTCCTAGTGATCGCAGTCCCGCCTTTCTCCTTCCTTATCTTCCTCTTAGTGTATTTGTTGGCTATTATCAGACTATGTTAGTCTTGTTTTATTTTGAGCAGTTGCAGTATTTTGCTTATGACTTAGTGGCACCCGAGGTCGAGCTTGTAATCTTTTGCTTCGTTTGATTTTTACTTTATATCTTTCATTGGATTTCAGTTGAAACATGGTTTTACTTATGTTTTAAATGAAATATGGATTTTTTGGAAATGAGTTGGCTGGCCTAGTTTCACGATAGGCTCCATCACGACCGGGTCAGTTTTGGGGTCATGAAACATCATTATCAGAAGAGACCAATGTTTTAGCTTCACCTTCAAGCTTTTTTGCATTTTTGATCTCGGTAACGAGATCAAAGCCACGAGCATGGATCTCCTCGAGAGTTTCCCTTCGAGACTGGCACTTGGCAAGTTCGGCGACCCAGTATGCTCGAGTCTGAGTAGTATCAGCAAATTCCTTTGCTCGAACTTGAGCGGCTTTGGCGTCGGATCAGTAGACGGCCACGATTGCCTTAGCATTGGCCGTAGATGTTTCAACTTCGGATTTCGCCACTACAAGTTCCGTGACCAGTCGGGCATGGAGCTTCTCAATTTTCTTTGCTTGTGCCAAGTTTTTTATCTTTCATACCTTGGGACTGGCTTTCAGTCGAGGATAACTGAGCTCAAACAATCTCTTTCTTTGAGGAAAGACGGTACATATTTTTCTTCCATGCTATGGTTTCCGCCTTCACCACATCTACCTCTCCATGGAGTTACCTAATCATTTCGTGTAGTTGCTGGACTTATGAGATTGAATTGTTAGCCACTAGTCCCAAACTGAGGCGGTGAGCTTCTAAGACTTTATTTACCTGCTCGGTCAGTTCACTCTGTTCTTTCTGAGTCATAGCCAGTTCAACTCAGAGGACCTTGATTTCTTCTTCTTCTTGCCCACTGGAAAGTTTAAAGGCATTCTTCTCATCGGTAATCCCCTGGATATCAGCCTTATAAAGGCCTAGTTCCCCTCAAAATCGGAGGAAAGCTTCGTGATGAAGTACTGAAGCCTGTAAGCATAGAAGGGAAAAATTATACTAAGGGAGAAAAACCCAAGTACAAAAATGGATAGAAGAATCAGAGATTACCCAGTTTAAAGCTTGTTGGGCTTCATTGAAAGGACAAGGTGCTCCTACCATGTTCATCTAAGCTCTATCCTCCTCTGTGACCAAACCTTGGAGGTAGCTGGAAACCCCTATTGGGGAACCAAGAACACAAGCATCTTCCGGGACCGAGATCACGATAATTCGTTTTCGTGCAGGATCAATAGTGGGAGCCAGAAATTGATCAGTCAGATTGAAACTCAAGGAATCCTCACCCGATCTTTTTCTCGAAACCTCAAAAAACCAGTGACGTCTTCTATCCCGGTAAATAAACCATGGAAGAGATCTTCCTCTCTATGAGTTTCTTCCCCATGACAAGTTTCCACGTCTTGAGGGTCGTGTATTAAAGAATCGGAGACTGAAGAAAACAAGGAGGAATCCCAATCTCTATTGCCCCCGAGGATATCTTGAGGATCTACCTCCATCTTGGGGAGCCTCGAGCTCATTCCTCCTACGGGACCACCTTTGATTCCTTTCGGCTCGAGGACTTGGTTCGAAGTCTCCTTCCCGACATCATCAAGCCCAGGCCGATTAGCATCAATCTCCACTTGTTCCAAAGCTTTTCGAGCCCCGGTGCTAGTTCATGCATGGGCTATCAACCCAGAATCATCTTCATCTTCTTCTTCTTGCTCACCCTCTTCGGGCTCCTCTCGTAGCCTGAGGACTGAGTCCATAGTCAAAGGGATGACATTCCCCCTACGGGACTGCCTCTATTTGGGCTTTTTCTCGTCCAACATCGTGGATATCAAAATCTCCTTCCTTTTCCGCTCTTTTTTCTGTTTTCGAACAGACGGCTGCGGAAGATTTTCTTCATCACCTGATGGGGGCCTAATCGGCACATCCTTCAAGATACTTGCAAAAGAAAGACAAGTAAAATCGATAGAAAATACGGATAATGATAATAGTTGTAGAGACAAGCAAAAACTTACTGTGGTTTCGGGAATCCCATCGACCCTTCGACAACTCACGCCATGCGTGTTCAACATGTTTCGATGTCAATACTAGGATCCTGAACCAGTTCTCAAGATGGGGAGTTGCACACGGCATCCAGGCAACGACTGCACCAAATGAAACGCCAGTAAGGAAGGAAGAAAAAACGAAGATAATAAGCAGGAGTTAAAAAATAGAATTATACTCGTGTTTCATGTTCCATTTCTCTAGAAATGGCATGCTTTTGGTCTGGAACAGGTCCGAGATCTTTACTCGAACAAATCGTCCCACCCAATCATGGTCCTTGTCCTTATCCATGCTTGTGAAAACAGACTTAGAGGACCAACGTTGAAGCTTTATGAGCCTCCCTCGATAAAATCGGGGCTGTATAAGCGTATGAGATGATCGATGGTAAAGGGAAGCCCGTCGACCTGACCCACAAAGAAGCGGAGCAGTATTACTATCCTCCAAAAAGAAGGATGAATTTGGCCGAGGGTGACCTCGTACTTCTTGTAGAAGTCCACGATAATTAGATCTAGAGGACCCATTGTGAAAGGGTAGGTCTAAACACACAGAAACCCCTTCACATGCGTAGTGATTGACTCTTCGGGCTCGGGCACCACCACGTTTTTGTCTATCCAGTTGCAATCCTTTTTAACTTGCTTTAAAAGGCCATTGGTGATTGTGCATATGTACCTTGACATTGGTTCACATCGGCCAGGAATTGAGGAGGTCTTTTCAACTTTGAAATCGGTGTCAAGGACACACAACATAGGAAAGAATTCTTCATGGAGTGGCTCCGCCGTTGGTTGCTCACCGGCCGTCTTAGACGAAGAAGCTTTTTCTTTCTACGGCACAAATTTTGACGTTTTCGCCATTTTTTGTTTGAGTTTGAAGAAAGAAGAAGAAAATAAGACTTGGTGTTTTGAGAAGGTTGACAACAAAATCGGAAGATTTTGCAGAACGGAAAAACTTGAAAGATGTAAAAAGCGTTGGAGATTAGAAGAAATTGAAAGTAAAGTTTGAATCAATGAGAAAAAGGTCTATTTATGGATTTCATGGTAACGATTAAAAACCACTAGTGGCCGACCATCAACTGGCACACATTTAATGCCTTGGGAACTGCACCTATGGGATATTTCAATCACATCTACCGCTTACGTTATGGGAATGACGTCATCATAGGTCAAGGATCGAAGGCTCAATTCGTTTCTTGTCGTTACACTCTAAAAACGAGGGGACTATCTGTATACGTATAAAATCGGGCCCACCCAATTTTAGTAATTTATCAAGACCAGTGTGAGGATCGAAGATCGATACCGTAATAGATCGGACTGAGGCACGAGGACAAAGTACCGAGTTCGAGATTCGGGGTATCTATCAAGATCGAGGCCGGTGGTGATTGAGATCAAATGAGATAGACATCGAGCGAGACCGACGGTAGCATAATAATATAAAGGCGAGATATTCGTGACTGCTCGAAGATCATGGCGGAAATCTCGGAACGGATCAAATCAAGGACAGTTAATTAGATAATCGTAGGATTTCCTTCTATAATTAGAATTATACCATACTTACAATTCATCTACTATATAAATAGGAGTTCCAATCATTTGTAAGACACTTGGTTCACAGATATCGAAGCAATATAACACTTTCTCTTTCGTTTATATTCTCGTTCATCAGCTAGTTAAATTATTAACTGTTCTTGCACCAATTAGTTCGAGGGTATTCAAGCTCGAGGGCTGAATTTCAGTCAAACACTGATTTGGTTATCTTATTGTTAATTTCTATTACTAATCTTCATATTCATCAATTGGTATTAGGTGAAATCATGTATCCTTAAAACCACATTATAAATTTAATTGTTATTCAATTTTTAGGATAAACACTACTTTTTCTCCTTTTGTCCATTTGTTTTTTGTTAACCCATAGCATACAGTAACAGGTACGAAAGAGATATACTTCATGTGCAAGTCGTTCAAAGAGAAAAAGTTGTGATATATGAAAACATACTTAGAAATAGAATTATTACGGGAAATCACTTCGTTTAATATTTCTCCCCTTTTATCCTTGATTGATTTTACAATTATATCCCTAAATTCTATAAATATTTTAAGGTGTAAAAGTCGATCAACGTTTTACGGATATTTTTATCATTCAACATTTAATCTAAAATATTTGTGCTTTTATAAAATATATACTAATTTTAATAAATGTACGTTGCACGTCGTATAATAATTCTTAAGGGTTTAGTCAATTATATATATGAAGGAGCAACAAAGTTAATTTATGAGAATATATATACACACACATAATAATATACTTTTGTTAAGCCTCAATAATTCATGTTTATCGAAGTAATTTCTCAAGATTTAAGATACATTAATAACGGAGAACAAAATAAAAGTTTTTTTTTGTGTGTTGTGGAACTTTAAGAGTGGTCGGTCTTGACGCTTTGTACCTTAATCAGACTGTAATCGCTTTCAAGGCAATGGCTTGCTATAACGGCGCGTTTAATACGATAAGTTATTTCTAATTTCCTTGATTCTTGGTTAATATTGTCAGTTATTTTTCAACATACACAAAATAGTAAAACTTATCTTGACATATTATGTCATTCAAAACCCAAGCACAATTAATAAGCTTCTAACCATAAAATATATAATATTCTGTACAAAATATTAAACTAAAGTGTATAAAAGGATTTACACTCTTAAACGCAGAATATGATTTGAATAAAATCCGGAGGATAGAGTCAAATCAAAAGTTGTATACTAATAAATTCAAGCAATGATCTCACCTTTCAAACCTTCTCGGAATGTGGTGCCAGGATTACAACACCGAAGGTTTCACCCTTCGACATTTAGGGTTAAGATTATCGAATTGAAACTTTAATTGCACTTATTCAATTAGTCTTTACAATCGGTGAACGAAAGAAATACCGCTTTATGGTCTACAAATTAATATACCATTCTTAAACATAATATAAAGTACCAAATTTTATCCAAGTCTCATACAACAAGAACAAAAAATAGAATATTATCAAAATAACACAATTTAAAAAGTGAGAGTAAATTTTTTACCATTATGCTGATCG